GTTTTTATCGGACCAAAAAATCTCATTAACATTACTTTTCAGACAAATCTGACACTTTAGGTTGAAAGTATTTATTTCCTAAAGTTATTTTAACTTGTTGACTGGATCTAATTGCTCAGAGAATCATTACATTAATAAAATTTAGTTTTTCTAATGATAGTCTCATGTAATATCTATTTGTTATTTCTTCTCGAAAATCTATCTGTCTGCATGCATGCATGGATGGGTGCAATCTAATAACTGGAGATCTGAAAACGAAAGCTCTAATCTGCATATTCTTAAATCTTGGCTTGTAAACAATTTCCACTTTCTGGCGTCATGCAGATGATCACGCACAATATTGAAAATACGAAAATCTATTGCGGATACCTATCGTTACTCTGATTAAACTTTCCCTAATACTTTTGAGCGTCTTCGCTAACTGGCATGGCATTTTTCTCCTTTACAACTTTCTAACCTAAAAATCTTTTGATCTATATCATCCACCTCTATTGAACTGTTTGCATGCAGTATTGAAAAACCGTGTTTTTTTTATTGCTTCAGCCATTTGCTTATGATTTTTAAAACTAAAATATGATTTTGCAGATGTGTTTCATTATCTTATAAAAAATATTTTTATTTCAGTAAACTACTTCAGTAATGAAGAAGTAGACATTTTTTTGAAAAGTTTCAATGTCGTAGCAAATGGTTTACCCTGGTCATTTCAATAATCATACCACCCCTCTGTATATGAATTTGTGTAGAAATGGAATCCTTTGTATAAAATTTGTAAATTAGAATTAGCTGTATGTTAATATATGGGTGATTCTCACGAAAAACGACAACTGACAGATCCAAGATCTAATACTATTCTACTAAAAGAGCTTTAAAAATTTTTTTAATACATAGCATTGCTGTTAGCATTTTAAAAAGACATTGCACAAGCATTGACTGTTTTATATATTCAAAAAATTTAATTTAATTTCAAAATGTCATTTTCCTGGTATGTCACAAACAATATTTCCGATTAGCTTCAAAACTTCCCATACATTCGTCAATATCTAACTTTTTTTTATCTCAACCGTTGTAAGCATTTCTAGAATATATGCAGAGAGTATTATTTCCAAAAATTTTGTTGAAAATAATTTTTTCTATCAATTATTTGCTACTTGAAAATCAGTCCTTTTCCTGATCACTTTTTTTAGTTATTTATAACCAAAATAGATAGAGCCAGCAATCAATATCTTAGGTTAGGAGATTGATTAGAATACCATCCTATCTGAACATGTCTTATTGCATGAATTAAGTACCAACTTTCTGGTTCAAAACCTATTTCAAAAAAATTTTCAAGGTGAGTAGGTTTTTATGTTGACATTTTCCTGTCTTCTTGAAATCATTAATAGCATAAACTATATAGATGTATCTGAGTTATTTCAAGAAATCCTGCTGTTTTCTGCGGAAAGTAAATGGCTCATTCCGAAATGTTAAGTTAAAGTAAAGTTAAATGCTGTAAAATGGCAACTTGTCATTATCCTGGCTGTCATTTTCCCGGCTTATGAATGCCAGGACATTGACATTTACCGGACATTTTTTAAACAGTATAGCGAAAAGAGGGAAAGCAAATATTAACCTAATACCCAGTTTATGTAAGATTGTAATATGCTTGTATGTAATTAAAGATTTTTATTTATTTAATTATTGCTTATTATACACAATTTTATTCTGAACATATCAACAACAAAAACATTTTTGATTCTTTCAACAGTGGATAAAAGAATTAATTTAAACAAAGACTGTCAAAATTTCTAGGAATATCATCATTTCAAAAATATCTGCTCCTTACCCAATATCTTCCAGTCATTTTGCATCTTCAAAAAGCCTCGAAATTAATGAAATTTTACTATTTTTGTTTTTTGTTTTCTTTGTTTTAACTGCTTCTTTTCAAATTAAAATGTAGTAAAATTAAAAACAATCTCATTATGTGTGTTACTCTCTAACTTCTATTATACTTAACTAATTTTTTCAAATTGCTCACTATAATTATTTCTGGAATTTATTTATATAAAAAGTTAAAATTAACTTTTCAACTTTGTCTTTTTTGAGTTTCTTAAGTTGAGTTTCTTTCCGTTAGCCTAAAATGACTGTTTTCTTAACTTATAAGCTAATATGTCATTTTCCTGACTTTCCAGTCATTTTCCTAGCATTCAAAATTTGGTGAATTTATATTTTTTCTTCCTTTTCATGAGCAATTGTCAATAAACGACACTACTGTCTGTAAGATATTAATAAATGTAACTAAATAAATATACAAAAAAATTTTGATTATTTTGAAGACTGTAAATTTGACGAAATTTTTTCCCGAATTGTCTTATTTCCAAAGAATCACCCATATATTAAATTTAGTAGTAACCCATGTAGATATGTATTTCATTTTAAAAGGAAACAAATAAACTAATCAAAATAAAAGTTGTGTTGTTCTTGAAAATGTATAAAAATTTCACCATATTAAAGCAATCTTTAAATAAGATATCGAGACTTCAATAATATTACATGCAATGAATATAATTTTAATTCTGTCACGCTTTTTTTTAAATTTCTTTTTTAAGTGTCACGTACCTTCTACAACTGATGGCCTACACAATTATTTATGCAAATGTAAAGGGGGAATTATTCAAAAAGATATACATTTCGAGTTTAAGGGAACTTATATATAAAAATTCGAGTAACAAATTTGTTCTATGNATAGAGCCAGCAATCAATATCTTAGGTTAGGAGATTGATTAGAATACCATCCTATCTGAACATGTCTTATTGCATGAATTAAGTACCAACTTTCTGGTTCAAAACCTATTTCAAAAAAATTTTCAAGGTGAGTAGGTTTTTATGTTGACATTTTCCTGTCTTCTTGAAATCATTAATAGCATAAACTATATAGATGTATCTGAGTTATTTCAAGAAATCCTGCTGTTTTCTGCGGAAAGTAAATGGCTCATTCCGAAATGTTAAGTTAAAGTAAAGTTAAATGCTGTAAAATGGCAACTTGTCATTATCCTGGCTGTCATTTTCCCGGCTTATGAATGCCAGGACATTGACATTTACCGGACATTTTTTAAACAGTATAGCGAAAAGAGGGAAAGCAAATATTAACCTAATACCCAGTTTATGTAAGATTGTAATATGCTTGTATGTAATTAAAGATTTTTATTTATTTAATTATTGATTATTATACACAATTTTATTCTGAACATATCAACAATAAAAACATTTTTGATTCTTTTAACAGTGGATAAAAGAATTAATTTAAACAATTTAATTTAAACAAAGACTGTGTCAAAATTTCTAAGAATATCATCATTTTAAAAATGTCTGCTCCTTACCCAATATATTCCAGTCATTTTGCATCTTCAAAAAGCTTTGAAATTAATGAAATTTTGCTATTTTTTTTGTTTTCTTTGTTTTAACTGCTTCTTTTCAAATTAAAATGCAGTAAAATTAAAAACAATCTCACTATGCGTGTTACTCTCTAACTTCTATTATACTTAACTAATTTTTTCAAATTGCTCACAATAATTATTTCTGGAATTTATTTATATAAAAAGTTAAAATTAACTTTTCAACTTTGTCTTTTTTGAGTTTGTTAAGTTTAGTTTCTTTCTGTTAGCTTAAAATGACTGTTTTCTTAACTTATAAGCTAATATGTCATTTTCCTAGCATTCAAAATTTGATGAATTTCTATTTTTTCTTCTTTTTCTTGAGCAATTGTCAATAAACGACACTACTGTCTGTAAGACATTAATAAATGCAACTAAATAAATATACAAAAATTTTGATTATTTTGAAGACTGTAAATTTGACGAAATTTTTTTCCGAATTGTCATATTTCCAAAGAATCACCCATATATTGAGTTTAGTAGTAACCCATGTAGATATGTATTTCATTTTAAAAGGAAACAAATAAACTAATCAAAATAAAAGTTGTGTTGTTCTTGAAAAAGTATAAAAATTTCACCATATTAAAGCAATCTTTAAATAAGATATCGAGACATCAATAATATTACATGCAATGAATATAATTTTAATTCTGTTACGCTTTTTTTTAAATTTCTTTTTTAAGTGTCATTTACCTTCTACAACTGATGGCCTACACAATTATTTATGCAAATGTAAAGGGGGAATTATTCAAAAAGATATACATTTTGAGTTTAAGGGAACTTATATTTAAAAATTCGAGTAACAAATATGTTCTACGAAGTAAATTTTACTTAGTAAATTTTACTAAGTAACTGAGTAAATTTTACTTAGTGTTCTATACATTACTGACAATTTGAAAAGTGAGTTAAAAAAAACTGGATCCTGTACTTTCTGAAAAGGAAACTATATATATATATATATATATATTTCCTAAGAAGAACGTAGCATTACAATCGTATTCCTTCCGTTTTACTTTAATTGATTTTTCAAACCATCCATCATTTTTGAGAGACTGGAAAAATTATGGTAGGATATCAAATATCCGGTCATACTTTAATTTTTCTTAAGCTCTTCCGTATACAAATCGCTTAATATACAAACTAGTCCAACCCTTAAAAAATCGTTTGGTAACTTAATAGTTGTAGCAAATGTAAAACACACAATGTTAAACACACTTCGCGTGTTTTTCATCATATTTAGCAGTGAGTGTAAAACCTAGACCTGGTAAACTCTGTACCTTAATAACAAGTGAACCGCAAGCTACAAAAACTTGAAGTGCACCAGCTGCTCATATTCGCCAAAATGTTCTATCAAGTTCGAGATCCAAATCATGATTTTTATTTCTAACTGAAAGCTTGAACTGACATTCAACTTATAACAGCAAAAAGCTGCTGAACAATTTATGAACAAAAAATTAAGACAATAGACGACATTTTTACACTGATTATTTAATAACTGCAGCTGGAAAAAAACTCATTTTACTAAAAGATTTAGTTATTTTTGCTGAAATAAAAAAACCTTCAAAACTGATAAGAGCTAGTTTTTTTCAGACTTCTTGAACTGTGACATCAGGAAGTTGGCTGGAAATGTCAAGATTCGATGGGTATGCACTCATACAAAAAATGGAACGACATGCAAAATCAAATGCAAAGAGGATAAAGAGTTTGAGAAACCTCCCCCTGAAGAATATAAGTGCACGCCTGACGGAACATGGACACCATCTGAAGTGCCTTTATGCATAGAACCAAGTATAGGTACCACTATGATACTTTACATTTAATGCAATATTGCAGAATATTTGAAACGTATGTGTAATTTGTGGGACTCAGCGCGTATTCACATATAAAAAATATTATTGTTTATAAGATTTTATTAGGATTTTTTGGAACAAACAAATTTTAATTAAGTTTTGCTAATGTTTAAATATGAGAGCGATGGCTCAGAGATTATTGCACTGCACTGACGTTGTGAAGAATTGCGGTTTGATTACCAGTGGCTGCTCGAAGTCCACCCAGGTTCAAATACTAGCTTGTCTGGAAAGTAATGGCGTCCTGTGCGCAGTGATAACCATATTGCCACAATCACGAAATTGTGGAACCTTAACCTAACAACGGGCTGATGCGGGAATGCTTTACTTAATGACTAAATATGGTGTTTTGTAATGACAACCCTTAACTTATATTACCGATTAAAGTACCACAATTTATCAAAAAAGAAATTTTATCAAAATTTTGCTGGTCATTATCGAGATTGATCAGGTAAAGAATGTTCTGAAGCCATGCACCATAAACATCAACCATAAAAATCACAAACAGTACATATTTGTCGGTCGTTAAAAAGCGATAATATTAGTTTATTAATATTATTAGATATAAAGGATAAAAAATTTATAAAATGTAATTCAAGAAGATGAATATTTTCTAAGCTATTTAATGATTTCTCACTTTTTGATCATGATTTTCTATGATATTTTTATGTTTCGTAAAATTCAATCAAATTATTTATTTTGTTTGCACAGTGAAAACACGTAAATTTACCTTTGAACAGTATTTATTTATTTCTCTGATTTTTTTTGAAAAAAAAAATCCTTTTTTTGAATCAATGATTTTTAAATAGTTTACTTTAAACGAACTTCAGTGAATAAACAAAATCGGATAAACTTAACATTTAATTTTAAATATGAGAATAACAATAGAATGCTGAACCAGAGTTATTTTTCGAACTCTATCAATCCTATAGTTTTGACGTGGAGCATTGCGGTGCGCAGAAAAAATTTCTTGGTGGACTTCTTCGATATTATTCCTGATAATTGTTCGCCTAAATCTAGAGAAATGGTTCCCAAATGTTTTTGGCTATGGAGCCCTAAAGGATTCAACTTCTTTTGGCGAAACCCCGTCTTTCTACATAATAAAGTATGTAAAATAAAGTACATAAAGTAAGTGGAATAAAACAAATGCAAATGAATAAACCAATTAAAGTATTTTTTTTTAAATATTTAGTAAGAGGAATGGAATTGTTTCATAGTTTTGTTCATTAGTAGCCTTAAATTAGGTTTTATATCCGTCAGAAGAATTCGTACTCCTGGAACTATATCTAATTAAGTTATTAATTTGTTTTGGTGTAAATACATAAGCTGAAAATGAAATAAATTAGCCAAATTATGATTTTCGTTGAAATAAAAGCGAAAGAAACTAATAAAAACTGTTATCTTGTGTTCCTCAAAATAAAACGGCTTACAAATCATGTAAATTATATTTTATAATTTATTATATTTATCATTTCCTTTTGAACGAAACTTGTGTTTTATTAATTTAACTTGTCGCCTTTAGTGACCAGTTCAAAATGATAAACTTTGACGTTAAACAAGACAAATGCACAGCGCAACTGTATTTAAATATTCTAATTCTATTTAAATCTTCTACCTCTCCCTCAATCCTAACACATCAATTAGTTTTAAACAATAGAATAATGAAAATTTAATTTCACCGTCTGGCTGTTGTTCGCGGCTTTTTCCATACTTTGATTTCAGGTCTAACAATTTTCAAGTGATGTCCGCGAAATTGTCAAATTTCTTTGTCTCGTTATGGATTTTTTTCTTATGAATTTCAGCAATAATTTAGAGTATGTCCGGTAGCCATTAAATTGCACAAACCAGTGTAATTATGAGTTCGAAACATTTCAGCATAGTGGGCAGCAGAAGTATTAAAATTATCCCCTTCTCTGTCATGAGATAAAATAGAAACATCATTCCAAAGCTCCAATAAAGCTCCCGTACTTCTCCCTCCCGCATTCCATATTTTGGAGGACAAAAGTCACAATCCGCCGAGTAAAAGATGAGTATATTCGGAGAAAGTGCGATTTTGTGTCTTTCCGTAACTTAAATAATAGTTAACTCTAATAAATTAAAATATTTTGAGGTCAACGCTTCAACCTATTAACATTAAAGTGAAAAATTCCGATCATTAAAGCAAAAACTATTCAGAGTAGCATATTTTTTTAATCCCTGCGAACTAATTTACGTCTGGAGTGGATATACGTGTAAATATTTACCAATAAACATATTTAACTAAATATTTTTCTAAAAAATCACTGAGAATATGGCACTGCCCTGGTGCTCAGCTGTATCGAAGGCATCTCTATTGCCTCGACCCTCTTCAACATCGACCTCAACTGCTGCCATGACACCCTTTATACCGAAAAAGTCGGAGATGTGCCCAGGGCTGTGCTCCATGCCTTCGGTCCCATTTGACTTGTACTTTAACTTTTCTGCACTTGTTAAACGACAACAACAACAACAACTAAACATTTTTCTAGAAAATCTCTGAGGATATGGAAAAATTCTTAACTCACCGCCACGGAGCCGTGATGGCTCAGGGGATAGAGCGTTCGCCTTCCAATGAGGTGAAGCGGGTTCGAATCCCACCGATGGCTAGTCAATACGAATCCGCATCCGGTTTGCACTGACCATAGTGCTGACGTGAAATATCCTCAGTGGTAGACGGATTACGGGTTTGAGTCCTCTTGCTGTCAGGCTAGCCGTGGAAGGTTCTCGTGGTCTTCATGTAACGCAAATGCGGGTTAGTTCCATCAAAAAGTCCTCCACGAAGGCAAATTTCTCCTAATATTTGATCCAGAAGTTCCCTTGTAGTCTGGATAGGGTTCAAAATTACAAGGCTACGTATTTGAACATCAGTAGTCGTAAAAACAATATTGGGTCGGCTGTTCAACAACGGTTATTAAAAAAAAGGAAAAAAACTTACCGCCACGGATTTTACGAATATTGTAAATAACGTAGCCACGGAAGTGGTTCTGTTAATGGGGTGACGTAAATAAATCAAACGCCGATATTTCAATATATTTTTGACCTCCATTACGTTGAAAGAAATATTTTTCATCTAAAAAATTTAGTGGTATTTAAAAAGCGAAATTCTTACCAGAATTTCACGAATGCTTATTATTACTATAATAAATTTATGAGATCGAAGGCAACCCTGTGAAAGGAACTATGAACCATCAAAATCTGTTGATAATAGCATTAATAAAGAGTGCAAGTGTGATTTAGGCAAATGGACGTTATTACATTACGAGTTTATTTGGATAATTTAAAAGATAATTTAGAAAAATATAAATAAAAAAACAATACTTATAAGACTGCTTTAAGAAACGCACTGAAATTCTAAGTCAATTTTCTCATTGTTGTTTCCAATAACTCTTGGACAAGCTAAGCACGCCAGTAATTGGCCTTTTGTAAATTAAGTCGGTAAGGAGCACCTTTCGTTTGAGAAAAGAGCACCGCAAGGGAGAAAGTACATCATAGATCATAAGCTCATGCATAGATGGCAGTACTACTCATTCGTGAGGCCCCTCAATTTAGACATAGATCTGAAGGGGAAGGAAATTTCCTCAAGATGCCTGTACTCATAGTACTGCTCAGTGACCGACCACAGGATTTTCGATTCTACAGATTTCACAAGCACGTACATCGAATGTACTCGGTGGGTCTTAGCGGAGTCTGGGATCGAACCCCGGCCGCTGCTGACGGGAGTTCGATTCTCAAACCACTGAGTTACCACGACCCTTCAATTTTCCTTAATGCCCCTTTTGAGTTGTGTCAGTTTTCTTAAGTACGCATTTTGAGTTACGTCCATTTTCTGCAAAGGTGCTTTTTGAACTGTGTCCATTTTCTTAATTGCGCATTTTAAACGGTGTCTACTTTTTTAAATACGCATTTTGATCTGTGTCTAAAAAAAAACTTAACAGCGTATTGTTTTGATATTTGATAATAGAAACTTCAGTATAGTCGAAAACATATATCTATATTCAAAGTAAATCAATTCAATTCCTTTCACAAGTAAATCAATTCAAATCCCTTTCAAATCTGCAATCGGGATCAATTGTAGATTTGAAAGGAAAAAAAGGCCCTTTCCGCCTCGGATGCAGATGTAGCATTCCTGGGCAATAGGAACAAGTTTTAGAATTCTATAGCCACTGGATTATTCTTTAGCCTCGCTGATTTCTCTATTATCGATCTGGAGGTAGATTTTAAAATTTTAGTGAGTTGTATTGATAGAAGTTGATGAACTTATTTCTGTATCTCTTCAGTAATCTAAAATTATTTTTTTTCAGTTTCAGGAAATGGCTCAAATAATGAAACTGTGTCCTCGAGTTGAATCAATACCTGAAGATATTTTCTTAACGGAATCAATGTACAAATTTTGAGAGATAATAAATTTTATCACATTTTTAAGGAAATGCGTTTTTTTTTTCTAAATTTGAAAATAAGCAGTAAGAAGAATGAGTACTACTTTGGTATTTATAATTATTTATTTGTTCTTTTTTTTTACATGCTTTAAAACTTATGAAGAAATTTGAAGACTTTAATTAGAATCACTCAATATTTTTGTAGCAATAAATAGCACGTAATTGTGTAAATCGTCGTTCAATCGACCTTTCGTTATGAAAATAACTCTTCATATTAGTAGGTAAAAATCGCTTTTACGAACACATTCAGCCGTGCAACGTTAGTGCTTCACGAAAAATTACGAGAAAAGTGGCTTGACAACTATTTTCTTAAGCTTGCTCATGCCATCATAAAAAACTCATGAAACAAAGTTTATTTCCAAAAAATGTTTTTTTTGTTGCAAAATTATACAAAGGGCCAAATATATAAAAATCTCAATTTAGAATTTTTTGTCTCTCACTTTAATTTTTCCATTGCACGATAGTATACTGGCTTCCATAAGTTAAGATATAACTTGCTTTCAGTATCTAATTTGAAAATAAATGAACGTAGAAACAAGAGATTTTAAAGAAATCTTCAATAAGAATTCTTAATTAAATATTACAGAAAAATTTAAGCAAATTCAAACACTTATGTGAATTACTCAATTTAAATACTTCATTCGCTTAAAAATGTATTCAAATTGGAATTAAGGGTCTACATGTTTTAAGCGCTACGAAATGGGCACCTACATTTATTCACTGTTCACTATTTCGAGAAACACTTAAAATATTGCACAATAAACAGAAACGAAATAACATTAGAACTGTTGACTAACATGCACATAATTTTGTAATTAGATGCTTTATTATATATTAAATACCTTAATCTGCAAGATATCATCTTTATTAGTAGCTGATTTTTAAAGCACACACGTGGTAATTTTTTTTGGTATTTTTTTATAAAGAAATTTCATCTGTTATAATATTACTCCGTTTTCAACAATTCATTGTTATTCTAAGATTTATGATCTTCCTATTTTTCCTTCCTATTTTATGATCTTCCTATTTATTCTTCCTATTTTTTTCGGAAACATAAGTATTTCCATTACTCTCTCATCTCTCTCTTTAATTTAATCAACATACAAAATTCAAATTTCCAATAAATACAAAATTTGCATTGAATAAACCACTGAATAAGAAAAATACCCTAGGGTTTGCTTGTTCATATTTAGTATTAAACTGGCATGATTAATCTATAATAAAATACTAAAATGCTGAGTTTGTTCTGTGTATCTGACTTTCTTATAACTACAGAACCGTTTGTGCTATCCTCCTGAAATTCTAACAGTAGCCCCAACTGGCATGATTAATAAAATACTAAAATGAAGAGTTTGTTCTGTGTACTGACTTTCTTATAACTACAGAGCCGTTTGTGCTATCCTCCTGAAATTCTAACAGTAGCGCCAAATGGCATGATTAATCTATGATAAAATACTAAAATGAAGAGTTTGTTCTGTGTATCAGTCTTTCTTATAACTACAGAGCCGTTTGTGCTATTCTCCTGAAATTCTAACAGTAGCGCCAACTGGCATGATTAATCTATGATAAAATACTAAAATGAAGAGTTTGTTCTGTGTATCAGTGTTTCTTATAACTACAGAACTGTTTGTGCTTTTCTCCTGAAATTCTAACAGTAGCGCCAACTGGCATGATTAATCTATGATAAAATACTAAAATGAAGAGTTTGTTCTGTGTATCTGTCTTTCTTATAACTACAGAACCGTTTGTGCTATCCTCCTGAAATTCCAACAGCAGCTGAAAGGGGCAATTTTAGGCTCAGACTTCAAAAATTGTTCAAAAATATCGTTTTTAGGTATTAAATTATTTATTTTTCTTTATGTCAGATAAGCTGAATGATTAACCTAAACGTGGGGACATAAACGAACTTCGTCACAAAATTAGTTATTGGTAATTCGCAAAATTCGTCAAAAATGTACCAAACCACTAGTTTTGCTTATAGTAATTTTTTTTGAAAAGGAGACTCTATAAAACTATAAAATTAAATAATTTAAAATCAACAAATGAAAAATAAGTAAGTTATGTACTGAAAAACAAAGTTAATGGATATATAGTATTAACTCGTTTAGAAGAAACGTAAAGTGATGCTTAATTAAATAAATAATCCACAGAAACTGAAACAGTAAGATATTATTTGATTAAAAATGGGTACCTATGTTTGAGAGCTTGAAGCATGTCGACTGATATTTTCCAATTTGTATATTTTTGAAGCGAATGAAGTTTTTAATCAAGTTTTATTAGTTTTTGTAATAGTTACTAATTGAAGTAAAAAAATAAACTATGAACTAAAAAGCAAAATCAATGGCGAAATGGTAATAATTCATTATTAAGAGAAGTGTAAAAAATAGCCTAGAAATAACTTTTATTGGTGCCAATTATGCTTAATTAATTTTGGTAATAGGTACTAATACGGCCGGGATAGTCTGGTTGATAGGGCACTGGGCCCATGTCCATGAGGGCGTGGGTTCGATTCCCGTCGGCCGAAGACTCTCCGTGTAGTAAATGGTGACTGGTGCACGTTAAATCTGTCGAGTCACAAAGTCCTCTATGTTCCCATAACAAATCATACCTCTGGGGAAACTACTCCAGGAGGCTCATTTTCTTCTAGATTGGTTCAAAATTGCAAGGCTACGGAGTTTAACACTAGTAGTCGTAAACCCAAAATTGGATCGACTGTTCAACGACAGTTATAAAATCAAATAAAATAGGTACTAATAGACATAAAAGTAATATGTTATGTACAAAAAAGCAAAATTGATGAGGAAATTGTTCTAATTCGTTAAAGAGAAACGTAAAAAATCGCCATACTATTGTTGACCCCAATGAAGCTTAATTTATTTTGGTAACTAGTGGGCTGCGCCCCCTGCTCGCTAGCGCTCGCCAACCCTAAAAAATGGCTACGCAATCTTATATGGTTTGCTTCGCTCGCTACTAACTTAGGTACATTGCAAATGCACAAAATTCTAAGAATTCAAAAAATCATTCAAATCCATATAACAACTTTTTTTTCTAAAAAAAATTACATCTTTTTAGTAAATACTAAGTCATTAAAATAAATTTGAATTCAAATAAATGACATGTAATTCGTTAAACCTATTAGAAATGTGCTATAGTATAAAATCTTAAGATAAAATTTCTAAAACTGATATCTCTTTAAAAAGGTTAAAATTTTGGCTATAATTAAGTCTATTAAAAATTGAAATAAGTGAATTGCAATGGAAAAACCTGCATAAACAAATAAATTCTAGTAAAACAAATAAATTCGTGATATAAATCAAAAATCGTCAAATAAATTCGTAATATATAAATTCGTGAAAAGAAGCGCTTTCGACAAAATACTAAAATAGAGATCTATCGACAAAGACTACTCACTTCTGCCTGGCTTTATAGTATGAGATTGCTGCAGCTGATAGGGCAGAGGTGGCGAACCTTTATACACCAACGTGCCATTTTTTCTAAAAAATTGTTTAATGAGGTCATAGACGTGCCGTCAAATCATTTTGCCTCCGTGATTATTGGGAAAATAATAATACTAAATACTATCAACTCAAAACTCTTTATTTACATTGAAAATAAATACATTGTGCCATGTCTCAGTTATACGCGTGAAGTAACATCAGTGTGACTTCTGTTGTTGCAGATTAGATGACAAATAACTTATATTAGGTTGTAAGATATTAGTTTAAGCAGGACTGTCAAATTTTTTTACTAGTTATTTATTGTTAGCTTGTTTTTTATCCTTATTAATTGCTTTTTTAGCATTAATTGTAAATTTTTTTATTAATAATTGTTTATTATTTTGTTTTGCCTTTGTGAATTTTAATTTAATTGTTACATATGCCTCATAGTGTAATAACATTTGTGTAATAACAATTCATAGTGTAATTACAACTATGATCGGTGGCGTGCCCAAAATATTGTGTCTCGTGCCATAAATGGCACGCGTGCCATTGGTTCGCCATCCCTGTGATAGGGTGAATTTCGGAAGAGATTCAGTTTCCGTTTTTAAAATCGCTATATGTTGAGCCACATTAGCTAGATTTGGCATGTGACATTTTTAGCGGCAATCATTGGTCGATTTTCCAGCATTGCCATTCGGGGAGTTGTAATGAGGCTTTTTTTTGTCGTCGTGTAAGAGAAATATATACTTAGATAGGCACTACTGATATTAAGGTAATTGGTGATAGGTTCCAAATATACTAATATAGGAACAATGTACTATCTTATTACTTTACTTGGTACCTGTTAATACAGTAGTAACTGATCCAGCACAGTTTTAATATAGTTAGTGTGAAAAGATGTTTTTCCACGGTGCCTCAAAAGTGATGCGTACCAGAGATAGTTGCTTAAGTGTGGTAAATTAATGAGTTTATTTCAAGCAAACAGCATCATGCCAAATGAATGCAATTAACCTTTATTTTGATGGGACGAACTTCTGAAAACATGTTTTGTTTAAACTAATAATGTAAAACCACCGAGAAGGACAGATATAGTTATTTTATTAAAGAACAAGGTTTCGACTGTTTCACCTTTTTTGTGCTGCACATTACCGGCAGCTCTTAAATTTTTTTTTATTAATCTAATGAAGACTAAAATAGCACCAACTGCCCCGGTGCTTTTGTATATTTAGCGTATTCTTAAAGAATTAAATAGTTAGCCTACTTTATCGAAACTAAAAAACTAATTCACTTTATATTTTTCAATGTCAGTTATGAGTCCGGGATTGCCTGGTTGGTAGGGCACTGGGCCAATGTTCAAGAGGTCCTGTGTTCGATCCCAGACGGCCAAAGTGTTGTAAACGGTGACTGATGCACGTTAAATCTGTCGAGTCTCAAAGTTCTCCATGTTCCTATACAAAGCATACCTCTGGGGGTACTGATCTGGGAGTTTCCTTGTCTTCTGGATTGGGGTCAAAATTGCAAGGCTACGGAGTTGAACATTAACGGTCGTAA